GGCTTCACCCGCCGGCGAAGCCCAAATTAAGTGTTTTCACTCAGTGGAAATGAAATGTTTTGCAAGATGAAACAGAAAGAAAATTGAGGTTTTAGGTAATTACTAGTTGGCATTTACATATCACAGGCTGGTTCAACACCTATTCATTTTCCTCTTTTATTTTCAATTTTTTAAAATTGCTCATTAAAATGAACACATGACAGGGACGGGGGGAAAAATTACTCTTCCCCTTTTTCCTGAGGACTACAAAATCCAGATCTACTTTAAATACATTTATCTATAATTATCACATACAAAAAAGCCTTACTTAATTTACATTAATAGGGTGACCAAAAAAAAAAATAATTATAAAAGCCAGAAAAAATCCCAGCTGAGCTGCCTTCGTGTCATCTTGTTGTGCCTACTTGGTCCCAGGGAGGGCCTCCGCGGGGCCGGCGGCCGGGCGCGCTGAAGGTGGTACGCGCGGCTGTCCCGCTGCCCGCAGCTTCACCCACCGGGTCAGCTGCAGAGCCCTGCTTTCAGATGCTTCCTTTTCCCCTCAACATAGTTTCCCCTCATTTCTTCCGCTATTCTCACTCCACCTAGTCCCTATTCTCAACTTCTTTGTTGCAGGAGCCACTTCAGGCTTGCTCCAGCTGTTCATAAAGCGTGACCCGTCGTTATCCGCGCACAGCCATCCTTCCCTCACCCACCCTGCTCCTTGCCCGGGATCCCGGGCTGCACCTCCAGTCAGACTCACGGGCTCTCTTAGCTCGGTGGCCCCTCCATTCAGATTCCCATTGCTCAGTTAAATAAATATTTCCTATGCAAAGCCCTTAATTTTCCTGCGCCCTTCAGCTTTTTTTTTTTAATTTTAACCTTGTGAAAGTCTTATTTAACCCCACAATGCATTCTAGGATACAATTTGTATGAAAAATGTTATATAAAATAAAGTTTTATTGTATCATATGTTAAGGACATAAAACATCCCTGATAGAAGTGTACAGGAGCTGACATGATAGACTAATATATTTTAAGGTCTATTGTGTAAATATGTATTTAGGGAATTCTAAAGCATGGTATTATTGACCCAAGTCTCTCTTAAAACACATTGATATATGGAGTAAAAGCCCTTATGAAAAGTAGCAAGTTCGTCTGTGTAGTAGTCACCTTTCAAAGTGAAATATTTCTGCCATCTTCAGTTTTTTCTGATTCGATTTAAAACATAGTGGACATCTGTACAAAATTCCTCACTTTTTAAGAGCAATAATATTCAAGTAATACTTACATGCATAAAACTGAAGAGAACAAGAAACTTTTACACGTGCTTTAAAACAAATGTACAATAACTACTTTTATGCACAGAGAAAATGTGCTATCTATGTATTTTTTTATTTCAGAAAGAAATACACCTCCAAATGAGACTTCATAACATCAGGTTTAACACAGTGCAAACTGTTACAGGGAAGTGATAAATGCTGGAGAAACACCTTATAAGAAATAGGAGCAGAACAGCAAACTAAATGTATTAAACTGATAATGCAGCCATAATAAATTTTAACCAATGAGGAGCACGAACTTTTTTTCTAAAGCTCAAATATTTTAACTTTTTATTGAAACGATATGATCTCACTTTCAGAGGAAAAATAAACTTTAAATAGCCCCTTTTTGTACTTCTGCCTAAGGTTCAGTTGCAAGCTTCCTATAATCACCAGTACCACCAAAGAAGGTATTGCAAGCAAGATGAACTGGGGGGGGTTTGGGGGGGTGCAGTGGGAAATAATGCTTGCAATCCAACTGGCAGCAAATTATTTGAAGTTCTGTTTACATAAAAATGGCAATAACCTCAGCACTGAATGTACTGGATCATTGTGGATAATATATGGACTAGAAGGTCAGCATCTCCTGCAAGTAGGTAAGGTATCTAGCTTCCAAGTGTGGGTGAAGCCAGAGTGCCATGGTAACGTTAACAAACTGATTCAACAGGACCTAAGAACAGAGAAGGTGAAAGGTCAAAACTGATTAAAGAGAACCTGATTTTTATAACTTTTCATGAGCATACTCAATTTATACATCTTGCTTCTCCATTCTTACAAAAGGAAGCTCAGGGATCACTGAGGCTCTGTACTGTAAAATTAATGCAAGTGTCAAGCTGTTGAGCTGAATCACTCCAAAGCAATGTAATGAGTCAGTGTCCAAGATGCTCACTACAGCAGAACTAAGATCATTCCATGGCTCCACAGCTAAAAAAAATGCATGATACAGCTTTCAGGAGAGTGGATGGCAGCACCTCCAAGTCTTACCTTTTCCACTCCTCTCTCCATATTGCCGTTACTGAAGAGTTCAAATACAGAAGCTTTTGAAAGAAATCTCCTTTACGCTATTATCTTCACATGTGCAGAACGTAAAAAACAATGAAGCTGTAATTTATTACATTTTCATTCTTTTAACTACAGGGCAGACAAGGACTGCTGGAGGGCCATTCTTATGCTAGGGAGCTAGAAGATGACGTAAGGATAGGAAGTCCGTGTCACATCTAACAATTGTGCCTGAGTACTTGAAATCATTATTGAATAGTAGACTCCAGAAGGCTAAATCAATCAAAGAGATGCACCAGAACAGGATCGTTGTTCAGACTTACTTAGATCCTTCAGTTCCACAGTCAAGGGACTGGAAAATACCAGTAATACAATGGTTTAGATTTAGCACAAGAGGATCAGAACTAGAACCCATCTGTGGAAGATGCCACAAAGATGTTTTAGGCTGAAATGACTCAGATGGACAGGAAATATCAGCAAGCTATTATACCTTGAACCTGCTATTTCAAGAACCCCATTTAACAGAATTCTTAATCCATGGGAAACGCAGATTAGAAACTGAGTGTTTTCCTTGCAGCAATAAAACCCCAATCAATTAGGGGTGAACTCAGGGGGCTATGATGGCATTATTACGTGGAAGATCTGAATGACCGAATGAATAAAGAGATATTGGAGGAAACTACTTGGATCACCAGAATCTAACAAACAAAAGGTTTCATGTTGGAAACATTAAAGAAGCTGGAAATCGTGACAGCTGCGCAATAAATCATGCAAACCACAGCAGTTGGGAAGTAATAGCAAAAGGAAAAGAACTTAAAACACTGGAAGACCTTTTTGTAAATTTAGTATTTTACTTAGAGCTCTTCGGGACAGGAATCGTCCTTTTACTCTGGATTTGCACCATGCCTGGTGCTGGTCTGCAACTGGCCTCCTAGACATTTATTATAACACAAATAGTAATAAAGACCGAGCAGACCATGCACTTTGTTCCTGCTGTTAATTGCCCCATTAAGGGAAAAACTAAGTAAGGGGCAAGAAATCTGATTGGCCAGAGCTGCCTAGTCTATGGGGATTGTGAGTGGAATAATTTTATGGATTCGAAAGCAGCTGCGTCCCTTGTCTTTGTCCAGTTCGTAACAGAAAGAAGCTCACATCACAGAATTTCTCCTTCGTATGTAGGAACTTGTATGAGCAGCCTCAAAAGCAACTGAGCTTCCCGGTCAACTGTTAGCATGCTTCCTCTAGAACAGGAGTGAAATACTCCTGTTTCTAAGGGCAAACGTGAGGAATATTTCAACTGTAGCTGTCCATGCCACAAATATTCACCAAACAATGGGTCCACTTCATTTTCCCCTAGAGTCAATTTGGCATTTTTCATGGATATTACATTTACTATTTAAAGAAACAAAGCATATAGGTGTCAGGACAAATTCAGGATGCTGCTCAACCAATACAGCACTGTATGTACCAAAAAAAAAATCACATGTAAACAACTCATCTCTCTTGAAACACTTGAGTAAGATCCCACCATCCTAAACTGAGTTAAAATGTCCAAGAGTATTAGTTCTACAGAGAATTATACTCAAGCCAAGATGCTCCTGCCTAGTTTCTACACAGAAATTTGGGTCCAAACCAGGAAGGCCTACAAAATCAGATAAGGTTCAAAACGGCACTTCTACTGTTTTTTGTTTTCCTTAAACCTTGGCACAGCCAGCACACGTCAGGGACTATTATAATTATACTCTTTACATGCTGAAAAATTAATAAACAATTACTCACTTCAGGAAAAAAAAGAAAGCAGCCGTTTCCTTGATAAATGCTGCAGAAAGCATCAACAATCTCTCTGAAATCTGGGTCCATACCACAGCAAGAGATTAACACCAGTGTAAGAATGGCCATTGTTGCTACGGAGAACTGGTGTAACTGAAAGCTTGCGTCTGTAACGATGCAGTTTTCCCAAGACTCTGCATCTGATCCATAGGAGCTATGAGGCATTTTTCTATCTTTGTAACAGAAGAAAGCAGATTCAGTCTTTAATGCTGCTTTGGCCCAAGTACAGACTGCTCAATCAATTTCTATTAAGCGACAAAGTCCAAAATTGGGGGTAAGTGTTTGAAATGCACTGGTTTCAATCCTGCTATGCCAAAAAGGGCTTCCACACCGCCTTTGTGGTTGAAAACTAAGGGTTACCTCTAACATGGTAGAAAGTCAAGCTCAGATTCCCAGGAAACCATAAGAATGGTAAAAAATACTCACTTTCCTGACCAAACAGGTGAGACAGCAAAAGTCTGGGAGCTTTATAAATTCTTATGGAAATTTATTTGCAGCCTAAATCTTGACTAAAATCTGCCATTCAGTTAGTTCTTCCCTAAAATATTAGCAAGCTCCGTATTAACTTCCTTGAGAATCCAGAGGGTACTCAGTTGCACTTGCACTGAAAGGCTTCCAATTTTCTTTAAAAAAATTAAATAAAGTTAAATAAATCCCACATATCCCTTTTTAAGCAGACCCATGCTACTCAGTCTTCTCCCCACCTTAAATCAATGGTAACCCAATTCAGATGCCTTACAGCTCTGTCTGAGAACTAGTGGAGAGATCAACGCTTTTTATCTTAAGGATTATGGATCGCTACTTGGCTGACTAACATACCCAGCAGCCCATTAGAAATACCACAAAGGGCACACTGTTTCCCCTTCCACCCCTCAGACTTGAGAAAGCAGCATATAAAACTTCACCCCTTCATGTTGTAGTTCTTAGCCTGCCTGCCTTGTTTCATACTCTAAACATACTGAGATTTATTAACCTTTACAGTAAAAACAAATAAAATAATGATGAAGTAAAAACACAGTGATGTAAGGGCTGCAGCTAGCACCGTTTATCTGTGGAAATCCAATTAGTGCTCAAGTGGCAGAGATACCTGGAAAAGTGCTCACAATCAAATCAAAAAATGATACAAAAACATTAACCTGATGGCTAAAAACTCCACATTTAAACATTTAAAGTAATAAAGGTGCTTTTATTGAGTATTTTCTATATTTCATTATGTCCGAAATTGACGAGGAGCCCTAGAGATGCATTTCCTGGGCTTTTGGATCCTTAGACCAAACGCTTGACTTTGTTTTTGTTATTATAAAACAAAAAAAGAAACAGTGTTTCTTGCTAGAATGGCAAACTTCTTTCTGCAGTAGCAACTACAGCAACAATTGCATATGCAGGAAATGCTGAGAAGCCTATGAAGATATTCTTAGATCTGACACATCCATTCTGTACTCACCATGACGTGAGCAGAAATGTTGTTTGAATTACTTTTGCATCTAAGAGTATCTGGATTTACCTCTATTGTTGTGCTCTACCAGAAATTCTTCTCTCAAAGCCATCGACTCGTGTCCCTTGGCTGGGAAAGTGACCATATTGACGAGACAGTTGCTAGAAAGACAAGTACCCACTGTACGCCTTGATGGTCTCAGTAAAGAAGATAGGCAGTGAATAAATTGTGAGACTAGTCAAGCCCCTAGCAGTAGGGCCCTCAGATGAGGTCTGCTTACAAGACTTACAGAAAAAGCATGCAGTACAATGGCCCTGCTCTATCTTTCTGAATACGGTGACTCTGCTGCTTTTTGTCAGCATTAAATTCACTTAAATTTATTAAAAGAGGAATCGGGAGAGAATCACTGTCAATGAACAGAAGACCAAACTTCTAAGTAACAATTTTCTTCATCTCTCTCTAAAACCACAGAACAGGAGACAATGATGCTTCTTAAGTTATGGAACATCTAATAAAACTTTACCCATTGGTTTGCTTATAGCAAAATGTTACACTTGCTTCCGGTATCAATTTATGCATGCTGCTCTTAAGCTTTACACAGAGGAGTTGAATATACACATTCAGAATAGACTGTATTAAATGCAAAATAAAATGCATTTAAATTCCATTCTAAGATGAATTAACTGAGTTAAAAGCAGCAAACTTCCTTGAATTATACAGAAAGTACATTTATATTTATATTTCAGAAAGAATTTGTATTTTGTATTTTAACCAACTATTTTTAAAAATCCAAAAGTCTTTACTACTCTTCTAATTCATGACAGATCACTGTCAGGCTATTTACCTAATGCTAATTGTTTGCTTCCGGTTTTTGTAGTATCAATCCACTCCTCAGAAATTAATTTAAGACTTAAGAATATCATATGAACATCTTGGATTGTACTGGGTACCAGAAAAATAGTTATTTCCTGACTTTACTGTTTCACTGGGCTGCTACTGACACTCAGATGTTCTGAACTGACTGGCCCTATGTGTGGTATTCTCTTTCTACAGAGAATATTCATGAATCAGCTTTTAGATGCCAAAGAGTAGAACCTGTCTTCAGGGAGCAATTTCTACGTCTCTTTAACTTTAGTGCTTGGTATGTAGCAAATTATAAAGAGGAATGTGATACCTAGGATTTGCACACTGAAATGTAAAATGTTTAAAATAATAAATCAAGGACAAAAAACACCTATATCAAACAGATTCACACAGCAACGTTTAGGTTCCCTCTCCTCTCCATCCCCTGTAATCAACAGGGATGAGTACTGGGTAAGAATCAGTGGTGAGAGACCTCCTGCTCCTGTCTGGAGTATAAAGAGTCCTGGTTTATTATTCCGCATTTGCGTGTGGCAGCAAATGTGTAAATGTTTTAATAATACAAAAATCCCAATAGACTGGAGGAGGAGGATATGAAAGAAAGAAATACAAGGACATTTACTTTCTTGAGAGGGAGATAGAGAGGAAAAGAGAGAAAGAAGATGACACGATAAGGGACAAAGCAAGCTTTCTGGGGTATATCTGGAAAAAGCTAGAAGAGAAATCATTAGGAAGTCCACAGTGCATCTACAGTGATACAGTGCGGATCAATTCATTTAACACTGCCCTGTACATTTACAGAAAAGTACTTTTGATATAATAAAGGCTCATAAACACACAGAAATTGGGTTAGACCTGTTTCGAATTCCTGCCAAACAAT